ACATAGAAAACCATACATTATTACTAAGACAATACATTATTGCTCGTAATGATTTGTGCCTATATACCAAAAAGCTGTCTTCGTTATTTATTGTGTTCGCAGTAGAGTTCGAAATGCAAATTCCCACTTGAATGTTATTCTCAGTTGAGTGTTTAATAAAGATTTACTACATTAGAGGATTTGTTTTTTTTCAATATTTCGTTACAGGTTGACCACGTTTTGTATTATTTTCGTATTGCTTATCCTTGATGGCCCTTGTAACATTTTGGCAAAATCATTAACGTGAAACAAGATAAATGAATATCACTAGCCGAATTTGTGTACAATAAAAGGTCACCTTCGTATCATCCTTTGCTAACGGAAAAAAAAACATCACTTGTCTCATCCTTCGGCACAGAATATAAAAAGCAGTCTATAATGAATTTTATTGGAAATCGGGGTGAGAGCTAATCATTCCCTTCATTTCCTTCTCTCGATTTCCTTGTCCACTAATTGAAAACGTCCAAGCAGCCGGTCTCGTTAGTAAAAGTAATACCATCAGGGCAGCGTGGCATCGCTAGCCATGCACTGCCTCCCGGCCCAACGTTCCGACGCAAACGCGATAAACGTGTCGAACACCGAAAAAGCCTACGACGTAGTAATGAACAATTTTCCGGCGTTCCTACACAGCGTACCGTAATTTGTCGCACAGCTCTCCTTTCGATGCCGACTCCTATTTCTTCTCTTTTTTCCCTTCGTTCTATAAACGATTGTCGAATCGGCGATGTCGGTTCGACTTCGCACCAAAGGACCCATTTAGTCGCTGCACAAAGAGCGAACCTCTACACGTATTGCGACCTGCTTCGGCCAATTCCTGACGAGTCATTCTTGTCAACATACTTTTCGCGTATAGTATGGCAGCGCCTTTCAATAAGACACTGCTTTCAAGCCGCTGTGGGCTAGGTATCGGGTCCGCTAGAACTGTCATCGTATCCGAGGGGAATCAATAGAACAGAACGAACTTGATTCGATGTAATGACAGTAGAACTGATGAACAATGTGTCTATCGGCACGTAATCTACCAAATAAAAAAAATGTATAGATATAAATATTAGACAGAGGGTGTCGACCAAGATCTCCAGGACACTGCGTATTGATTGAACGATAATGACAACTTCGGGACATTACAGCCGCCGCCGGCGGCGGCGGCGCTACTGCTACTACTACTACTACTACTACTACTACTACTACTACTACTACTACTACTAGAAACACCGTGAGCCGTTAATCGAACAAATTCTATAAGGGAAATTGCGATCTCAAAGCCTCGAAGACTCTCTGCGAACTAAATAGCGAAGGGTTGAGAAGTGCAATGGAAACTGACCGATCTCAAAAGCAACCAGATTTGGTGTGCTTAGCTCGGTATAATAAGTAAAAAAATATGAGTAAGTAGATCTTAAGTTAGCTGAACGAGGATCTACCTAGAGGTAGGTACGTTTGCTTTGGTTTTATTTCACCTTAGTAGTTAGTGGCCGATTTATGTACATTATGTATCGAACTATGACTCATGATGTGAATGAACGGTTACGTCAGTCAGTGGATGCAATTGAAACGGTTAATATCGTCCTAAAGCAAATGCACAATTGCGAAGTCTGCCAAGCGACTTAATGTTGACCCTGTTTGTTACAGCTTCAATGTTTTCATTTGCTAAACATTATGCTGACTATTGGATAATATAATGAACTAACTTGGCATCATCGTCCAAGATAGGTGAACAGAAATAGGAGATGCGCAACAATGCTCGACCTCCTCACATCGTAAAAAGTTGAAAAGACAGTGAGGCAAAAGTTTTGCTAGACGGGGCAGAATTTCGAAAACTTTTTAATAGGATTTTTATGAACATTTCAGCAGGATGCCAAGAGTGGCCGTCGAAACTTGATCGATCGTCGTACTCGACAGTCGCGAAACAACTGGCAGAAGTTCATGGACAACAACGCTTGCTCTCGTTCACTGCTTAATGAATAAACATCCTGAACAGCTCATTGATAGAATTCTATGATACTGTCAAAATCTTAGTCGATATGCTCGAATATCCCTTGACTGGTTGTATCGTTAGACAAGTTAACAAATCTATTTCGCTTGTATTGTCTAGATCATGTTCTTTTCATTTTCCCGTCATCCTAGGGAACAATGACAAGCCATGCAAATAATGATACCGGGCTCACAATCGTTTTCAAACGAGTCAAAAAGTGTATCAACTAAGAACGGAGAATTGAGCTTCATGGTCGTAAATGAAAATCTTTCGTAAACGAAAAAACGACGCAGTAACATTTTGTTTTATCCGGCAACATTTTCTTTTTTTTTTTTTTTTTTTTTTTCATTATAATGCGTTTTGAGTGGCGGAAATTAATGTCTTAGACGTCTTTACATGACTAGTGGTAGTGCAAATAACTTTAATCACTTTATACTGAAGGAGAGCCGAACGTCGCAGAGAACTATGTATCACCTAGTTATAATGATAGCAAGACAAAATTGTTATACTTTTTATATGATTATGCAGATGGAACGTCCTCTTTGTAGCAGAAGGTCGCTGTAAAACAAAGTGTATGCAGTATGTCACCGGCCGCGTCACGGACGTATGCACTGCACAGTACCAGAATTGGTTTTATAATAGTTCATATAAGTATAAACATATTTCGACCGACCAAAATGTTAAGATATGTTCTTTATCACAAAAATATTCATTGATCATTTCCTCCGCTAACCAGCTTCGAGTATAGGATCTAACTAGAAATGCCCTATACCCAAAGATTCATATATTGCCTTTGATGCGTCAGTACAGACACCGCTTTATATGTGTTTTGGCTCTAAGCAAAGAAGCCAAAAAAGGCAGATACTTCAAAAGTTACCCAACTAAAAAAGACGAAGTTATAAAATAACGACGGCACTCCCTATAACTTACTACTTCCGCAAAGATTCAAATGTTCCGTGCCTGAAAACTGCTCCGCGAAGTTTCTGTCGATCTCAGCAAGCAGCACAAGTCGGTCGTTAAAACTGTGGCTTTCACTTACATAGCCGCGCGTATCCCACTTAGAGTCAAATGGGTCAAATGAGTCAAATTTAAATCCTTTCTAACATTGTTATAAGTTACGATAACTTTTAAGCTTGTTTTGTCTGGGTACGCCTCTGGGTAAAATGATGCTATCGTTTTTTACACTCTTCAGAACGATGCGATGTATCATTGCTAAGCAACGGAAACTTATCTACTATCGGATAAACGAGCGAATCACGCACAGACCCGAATGTCCCGACATAATCGTGCACCTACATGACGTGACAATGTGCCCAAGGGTCATTCTCTCGTAGAACATCGACTATTAAACACTGAGGTAGCGGAAACAAAGCAGTCGTTATCGAAACTCTATTTTACATCTTGAGCTTTACGTAGGAACAGAAAGATACGAAGGGGCTTCTACGAATTTCGTACGCGGAAAAATATGGGCAAAAGCTATAGTTACAGCCTCCAAGGCTATTCGAAGTACTGGCCAAAATTGTATTATCTAAAGCAACTATACTATATAGCTTACGAGTATGTAAATGCCGTACACTTTACTCCTTGGATAGAGTTAGCTAAATGAGGTCGTGAAGCTTGGTAAAAACACCGACGCTACGCAGCACCTAGAACCATATGTTACCGTACGATGCATGTATCATATGAATGTAATTTACAAACATATCAGAAAAATTAATAACAAGTGACCATTATCTTAACATTATACAAATACGATTTTTCTTGCTGATCAGCCAAACTACCGACTGCCAGTTGAATATTTATGTTTGTTCTGTTTCTATAATATTGCCGCAAAAGTTCCAATCAGAACAAAAACCAATTCGCGCCTTCCTTGCATTCTAGAAGTTTTTCGGGAAGTAAGAACACAGAACCATCGGCCGAAATCGTTCTCCGGAAGAACTTGCTACACAAACGGTATGTGTTAGAAAATAAAGTAATGAATATTTTTTTGGAAATGGGTTGGATTGTTCAGACGAAATTAATATAGGTATTATACTAATTTAACTAAATAATCTCAAATAATCATTAAACTAATTTATTATATATTTTATATTGACGGATAAAACTTTTATGTGCACAGTTATTGGGACACCGTTAAACACAATTGGACATTTCAATCGTGCGACCACCAGGCCTCAGGGAATGTAACTTAGAGAACCTTACGTTTTCGTAAGGTACTCGTACTCGCATTAACAGAAAACACGAGACTATGGGTATGCGTAACAAATATTCATGATACTATAATACTGAAAGGCTTAACTTACAAAATTCGAAAAGTGACACTAAGGGCTGATAGATATTATAATAAGGGTCTAAGACACAGTAATTTTCTAATGCAATAAAGTTTTCCGTACTTAATAGACAGTTTCCGTTATATATGTATGTATATATATAAAGACGATAGATAGATTAATATATATAAAGTAATGCGTTTAAATTCAACGGCCTGTTGGTTGCAAACATGCAAATGGAAAAGCTTCCAAATTCGTCAGTCTAGCCTATAGCCAGTTTCCATGCCGTTCCTAAAAAATAGAGTTTAGATTTGTAGCAGAAAACCGTTTGGACATAAAAATTAGCGACCTTTATGGGGAGGAGAGTATCTGTTACCAGTTGGGTGGTCTACATAGGCTCTAATGGTCAGTTCCTGTGACGCTTTTCGCCTTTTTATGTCTTTCACTCTTTTTGGCCGTATTCGGCCCGGCCATTTTTGACACTTCTGCCCTGCTGTTTATTTCATTTCATTAGAATGAATACATAACTTATTTGAGCGACACTGCAGCAAGCTTACATTTACCAATATCGCTTAACATACAATTACTATTAAAGAGTTGTCTGCGGAAAAGGATATTTTAAAAATGACGTAATCAAAATCGACAGTGGCTATATCGTACAATTAGGACCATCAGAATGTTATTATATGCGTGCGTGCATGTTGATGTAGTGGACTTACCCACTCCGAAACCGACAATCAAACGACCAACGCAGAGCGTCCATTTGTCCGATGAGGCAGCCATCAGAATTGAGCCTACCGAAAACAGGCACGAGGCGATGAGAACTGTTGGCTTACGGCCTAGCCAATCATTGAGTTTACCAGCGAGGACGGCACAGATCCAGGCCCCAGCTATCGTGATCGAGACAACCACTTCTTGCCATTCTATATTCAAGTCGAAGTATGTTCGTAACTGTTCGTAGCAACGAAACAGATAAAACTATTATTGTTAGGCAACTAGAAGGCCTCGCAAAGTATAAATGCATGTAGAATAAAAAAACATAATGTAAGGGTGCAGCACTGATAAAAGCAAACCTTTTTTTATGGCAAGCCGACGGAATGCTTTGATACACCATTAGAGACATAACAGCTACTAGTGACGACAACTGTATACGTCTGGCATTTTAATGCCCTTAGAAAATACGTGTTTAGTGCAAACCTTCTCTAGTGGGCGGAGAAGGCGGCCATCTTAGGGATAATCGAATGTTTGAACACTTAACTGGTTCTATAATAAAACAGTTCGTCGTGGCATAACGTGTCCATTAAGAGCATGGTTAAGCTATTAGATATTATTAGGGTCTGATGCAAGACGTCGTATGGCCCGCATTGGGTGCTCTGAACTCGGATGACGCTGTCTGGTTACGGTAGGATGATGTCATAAGTGAGACGTGCGCTAGTAACGCCACCCTGTGCTGTAATTTCTCTGTCGATCAGGGCTCATTTCGAAAAATGGAAACTCAATTTATGGATAAAAATCCACCTGTCACAGCCATTGTAGGCAAACATTTCGAACACGTCGCGGAAAATCTTATTTTATAATAGCACCAACGTAAAATTCTAATTAATAGGAAAAATGGCCAGCTCTAATTATTTTATCATTTTATTGGGATTATGAAAAGTGCTTCTACTTTTTTTTTTTTTAGAAATTTTTCTGACACTTCAACGAATTTGAACCTAACGCGTGTAATTAAATCAAGAGACAAACATATCTGTTATTAAAGATGCTAACCCAGCACATCAGATCGTTGGGCTTTTGGCGGTATTTTCCTCCAGCACCGTCCTGCCTATACTAAGCTAACTTTTAGAACATTCTTAGATTTTGTTCCCATTCGAGTTTATATGATAGGTTGGCTATTCACTAGCGGAAAACGTCCTTCAAAGGATTAAGCTTTTGTAGGTGCTCCGTAGTGAAAGGTACTTTTCACATATCCCTGACGATTTTTCTCCTAATCTGCTGCTGAAGCCAAGGCTTTATTGCTAAGTACGTTCATTATGAAAGTGCGACAGGCGTGCACTATACGCCATCTACCCATCGGGAGCCTACTCATTTGTGTTGGCTTTGGGTTGGTACCCATTGGAGGAAACCAAGGAAGCAGTAATACGTTATTTTAATCACTATGTCAGATTATCATCATATGAATACGATGATAGATTTGATTTTATTGGAAAGTTGACTAACCTGCATGGGGAGCGTTTCGCTGCGCTGAACTCGTGAAGCTTTGCCCCGCACTGCCGTCTATTATCCATGATAGCTGTTTATTGCCTTAGTTTCATTGCACATTTGGAAAATATCTAAGGACGTGTGGGTATCTCTATAGACAAACAGCTAGATGAAGATATTTTCCATGAAAAACTAGAAATGGAATATCAAGTAAGCGGTCCAAGGGGATCTCAATAGTGCATTCGTAGTATATTGTAATCTCTGTAGGTAGATTGTAAAGCGGTAGACGGACGATTTCTAAAGACAGCTCTACAGGGCATTATGTATTTATCACTAGGCAGAATTATGTGTTTAATTCTGCACCTATTTACCGAATATGAGTATCTGTTTAACTGTTAGTAATGAATTTCTATCTTACTATCCTGGCTGAGATAAGCTTCTAGTCTGACTTTGCTCCCCTTTATCTATCTATCACTGTGTTCTCTAAAGAGATTATGCGCGTCGACTAAAATTCTGTAGTTTGCTTTGTAGATAACTGGATTCATTCGAGTCTTCAAAAGCAGGCACTGAGTGTTTTAATCACGTTTGTCTATCATACAAATAATTCATGCTATGAACATTCTGGAAGCCCGCTGACAAACATTTTTTATTCAGAAAATAAAAAAATAATTATTTAATAGCCCGAGGAAAAAACGGGAAGAGCGTCTTTTTCTCTCGACGACAACAAATAATAAATGTGTAACGCCTAATCGAACCGAATGTCTTGGCTGATCACTCATATAGTGCAATAGCTTGTTCTATAATATAATTTCTATATGTTTTGAGTTTTGCACCCGGTATAGCCGTTAAGCACGCCGTGACACGGTTGGACCCCAGCACGAATCGAAGTGTGTCCCTGCTCGGATCTGAACCCATACTATAACGTATGCCTAAGATTAGCAAGCAAACATATATGTATATAAATGTATAATCGGTCTGAACCGAAACAACAAAGTATACCCGAAACGAATCCATCGTCAAAATGGTCCTATTTTCGCGTGCTTCTGTACGCCGCCAGTATTATGAAGCATCGTACGAAAATTCGTTTATATGTGTTTGTATGCTGCAGATGTCTAGCAAGCTTGCTCAGTGCACGGTGGAGAATATCAGGATCGATTAAAGGAGATGAGATTAGATTAATCAGATGCCGTACTCAGATCGTATAAAAATACTTTGTGTTATTCTGTCGGCCGATGGTGTCATCATGGACGACTGTGGTGCTAAACCCATCACAGCGCGAACTAAGTAACATCGTAATGGGCAGGACAACGTATTTTCTTTAATCCGCTAGAAAAAAAACTTTAACATAATAATAAAGTATATTCTCCTGTTTCTAGTCCTTACCTGTAAAAGCGCTCCGGATACAACCCCGGTATCATAGCCAAATAGGAATCCTCCAATAGCCGATAACAATGCGGCCATATAGAGATAAACCGTAGTTTGTGGAGTAGCTCCTTTGGTTTCACCTGAAAGCAAAGGACTCGTCTCTGAGTGTTGGCCTGTTTCAGTCATTTTCGCACGCTTCGATAGTCTTCTCAGGAAGATCACCCGTGGTATTGTGCGCCACTGACCCCCTTGTGCCGTCACTGCTTTTCAGTTACCTCACGACAATATGAATTCGCTTTACTTAGGAACACACAAGCTCGCAATGCGTTTTCTCGTGTTTAGGCCAGAATATTCATAATCGAGTTTTTTCGTGTCGCTGTACTTTTATCCAACTCCATCTGTTTTTATGTCGACCTATTGTAATGGGGATCGATCGAATCAGTGCGGCATAAAAATGAAGTATTTAACTATACGTTATCCGTCTCTGAATCACGTCCTATGAATATTGTGTTTCTGTTTAGTAAGCACTATCGATGGCTATAGACGCCGTCATCTACGAGATATGTAGAAAAACCACTGGCGGCTTGCTAGTAGTAGCAGTTATTAATTTACATCACTGTTTATTATATAAATCCGAAATTCAACCACATGCCATTTATATGATTGGCATCACGGCTGGTTTGTTTTTCTTTTCGCGCACGTCGGCGTCCCTGTACGTACGTATCTGCTGCACACGAAGGGCGATTAAGCCTATGTCACGTCGAAGGCGTGGGACAATCGGGCCAGCTTAACTAGCGTCATACAGCGGTAACTGGAATAGCTCACTCGATAAGCACGATGAGTACACACGACACTCTGACTATTGTCAGCTTGTATTCGATCAAAATAATTCGCTACTTTTACGGGTAGAGTTTAAAATCAGTTGACGCCTACGTTGCCCTTTGAATTCAGTTGTGTACACTTTGATAGAACCTATCCAATATAACAGCTGCCCGCACAAATGTCTCAAGCATTGAAACGGACTAAATCTATTCCACGAACGGCTTTATTTTTACTTGTGGGTGTAGTACAGCGAAGGAGCGGCCAACTTTGTGGGTTTCTATGCCGGACAATTGTAAGCGACAAGGGCAAGTCGCTCTCCTCCTTACACTCACATACAAGATTTATCTGGAAATGTTAGCCAAAGCACACATTTTCCATGTATATGCTCTGTGAGTATTTTGTAAATTCTCAATATTGCTATCCAGACAACCACCATAAAAGAAAAATACCACCACATAGAATAAGGCGCGCTCTCAGAGAGAAGATTTAAGAAAATATACAATACGGCTATGGTAGTCTCTAGTGGGATACTGGTAAAAAGCACCGAACCGCTATTCGTTACATGACTGTTTCCTAAACCTTCGCATTCGTAGGATCAAGCCGACTTATTCTAGCAGTTTGGGAACCAGCGAAAGTCGAAGCGCTCGTTGGAAAAGCCCGTTGATGCTTCTTAAGTTCCAGCGTACCGTTTGCATTGTTGCCAAAAGCCGCGCTGGGGTCGTTTACTGTTTGGCACCCTGGCGCGTCGGGCAGTCGGTCCTTAGCAGTAAATTCGAGCGTTGTCTTCGATCGCTGCCAAGAGAGTCGCCTGACATATGCCAAAGGATCAAATATCCGAAAAAAACTAGGACAGAAAGAAGTCGTCGAGATGAGAAGAGCATCGTAAAATCGAATAGATGTCTATTGGCGACAAAAGAGTTTGCGGCGACAACGGCATCAGCGTCACCAGCCATAGACGCAGCAGCAGCAGCAGCAGTAGTAGCAAGGAGGTTCTGCCTAACAAGCGTACCGTGGAAGTGTATGATGACTGTTCTGTATCAACTGCAGCTAGAACTAGGAAGAATCCATTGAAAAAACGTTGTTACCCTAACCAGAGGGATCAATCTCTATCAAAATCTGGATCTTGACCCTTGCGAGACAACCGCCGCGTCTCACTTATAAAATATAATAACATATCATTTGAAATAAGCCTGCAAGTGATAAAGCAGCATAAGGAAATTAAATCTCGTAGTAAAAATGGCAGCGTTACCCTCTCTCTCTGGCTGATGATAAGCTTTGTCAGAAATGATATTGCACTGATAATTATATTCGTCTATATTTACGTAGTATCCGCTATAACAGTCAAAACTATATCTTTTGCTTAGAACATAAGTGATATAGTAAAATGCATGATTTTTACAGAAAAAAAAAAAAAAATGTTTGGATAACACGAAGGTTCAACTAAAAATGCCATATTGAAACATAGATTTATGAGCATATAACTATTGCATTAGGTGTGCAAGCTTATATCTACCGTTGTTCGTCTAGCTCGTCAACTAGTGTCGATATCTATAGAAAGCTGTAATCCTCTGGACAAACCCTCAATTTTAAAAAATGATGAAAACTCTTGGTGCTAACCCAATAACTTTGGAGTAACGATTTATCATGATCTTCGTTACTTGAAAATATTGTTACTACAGTATATGTTAAATATGCTAGAGCCTCAAAGCTTCATTCAAACGATTAATCGATTACGTACAAGATGTAACGTAAATATAAAACGTTTCGTTAATTGACAACAACTTACATGCCGCCTAACGCACAAACCGTTATCAATGAATCATCCTTTCGCTAAAATCAAAACAATTTTGTGTTCAAGTGACTTGTACATATGAGCTGATTAGCGGGAATACGGCGCAGGCCGATAATAGGGTAAGCCTCTTCTAGGGAAGAAACCTCCTTTAACTGGCAGAGCAGTCTCTCCTGATATCTACAGAAAGAGAGCAAAGTACACGAAGTATCGGAAATCGTCATTACGGCTCGACTTGATCGGAAAGTAATCTTGCTAACTATATTCAGCTAATATGAATATCAGGATCGAGCAGCTGACGCCATTTTATCAGTTTGATAACATCTCGTTTGTAGGAAATCTCAGCGAAACACAGACTGGCTCAAAGCGCTTGAATATGTTTTTCTCGTATATGGTCCACACCATATACATATGCATACTTGACGTTGGTTTTCATCATATTGTAACTTTTTTAACCTAGTCCAAGGCTAGTTCAGGCCTGAACTGCTCGCCTTGGACGTAGCAGCGTTTTTCTATCGACCTGCTGTCCGGTTTGCGCTGCATCGGCTACCTGTAGAAGCTTTCGTGCTTGTCCTATTACAGTTTTTCCGTTGTGCTAAGTTTACGTTGTTCAGCGGGTACGATGTTTTACGAATTAGCCTGTTTTAGCGACGTTATATTTTACCGTATTCCAAGCACCGTGTGGTTCTTACAGCATTTGCCAATTGATATAATATTAGTATTACGTAGAAATTATCCAGCCTATGACAACTGTTGCGTGACTCAATTGATACCGTTAACCCGTTGCTTTTTTTTAGCTATACTGCTATATTAAGGTGAAACTAGTTTTGACCTTAAAATTTCCTACAATTGACAAGAAGAAACGTTTGTTTTCTACAATTATTGAAATCTAAAATTTCATGTCTGCATATCAGAAAGTATGACGGAGTATTCAAATGTAACGTTTAGGTGTTTCTGTTCTAGACATCTCCCATTTAATATTCCACTATCCGAATTGAGAATATCTGAATTTATTATTTTTCCTTTACGTCGTTGGCTTATTGCCAAAAAGTTCTTTAACTTAGCTTATTTCATTTAATATATTGCACGAATTTAACTTTATTCACTCGTTTAAGTTGGCACATTGACATTGCTTTATTTAACTAACAATAGGAAACAAACACATCCTTTTTTAGTTGGAACTTGGCCGTAATTTGTCTTCACATTTTAATCCCACATTTTTTTTGTAGTCTCGACAAAAAATCGCTCTTTTTGGATTTTAAAAACCCCTACACTGGAACATCTGAACCGAAGAACTGAATCTTCCAAATTATCAGCTGAACACTACCATCCTGTAAAAATGACGGGACAAAGATGGAAGATATTCATATAGATTCTACTTTCTTACATGGAATAGTCAGATAACATCTGCATTCTACTATAGGTTTTCAATAGAAACGATTAACAATACAAGGCGCAAAATTATAATTTATTTTCTGCGCGATTCAGGGATACGTTATGGTCCTTGTATCAGAGTAAATATACTACAGATTTTTTTCTAATTTTTTACGAACGTTGGCTCTAATACTATGTTTATGACAGCCCTCCCTGTCACTAACCGCGACATATATGTTTTTAAGAAGACTAAATGCAAAGTTGTTTGCTGCTTGACATGGCCTCTCTGTGTATATATGCTGTTTTTTTGTCAAACACCAACATAAACACGTCTTTAGCTTACTGTATAGTGGCTAGCAATGATCTTGAAAGTATAAGCACCTGCAAGGTCAGCTAAGCTACAGAAAATACATGAGTACACAAGTACCACTGACATAGGGAAGAGAAAAAGGGATGATACGTTGTGGCATGTTTGTAAAGTTGATTCGATTAGTGCCCAAAAATAACAAGTTCTTTATGTCGATTCTTTCGCACAGTCCTATCTAACAATTGTAAACATTTACACTCGCTCGAAACCTTTTTCCACCAGCTTCTTGCCAATGCAAGGTATGGAGTTTTGGGCCTTGGCCAATGCCTGCCTTGAGTACCGTACAGCTTCCGCCTTTGAAGTGTCTTAAGCGCTATTACGAAAGCCATAAAATGCAGGCTCGACTTTATAGCCACGCACCGTCGATGTAGGCCCCATTCATTGTTGACTTATGTTAACATTGCAGACTACAGCTTGCATGAGTAACGCTTGCATACGCTGTTATGTCTAAAAGCTTTACCTTTGAAATCAGTCAAAGCGGGCAAGCGTAAAAACGAGATGTTGAACTTAAGGTATTAGGTGATCGGACGAGTGTTGCTTGCGGTACTTGTGGAAGACCGTTAGGCAGAAACAGTGTTTTTTAGGCAGGATGATATTACGGATTGGGTGCAGGCATCATCGGAACTCTATTCGCTGAATATTACTCTACTATACTTAGTGAGCGAAATTAAAACGCTCCGAATCAGTCACGCCGGAAAGCGGCTTCAAGGGCATTATAATCCTATTGTAATTTCGTGCTGTTATGCCCCAGGATATATTACGCGACAAGAGGGTTAATTCATATGGTT